CCACAAAAATTAATCTATGGTGTGGGGACAGATATCATGATGCAAAAACTCTAACCCTAACCCTAACCCTAACCCTAACCCTAACCCTAACCCTAACCCTAATCAATACTAATACTATACTAATTACCTAATACTAATACTAATACTAATACTAATACTAATACTAATACTAATACTAATACTAATACTAATACTAATACTAATACTAATACTAATACTAATACGAATACGAATACGAATACGAATACGAATACGAATACGAATACTAATACTAATACTAGTAATAATATTAGTCCTAATACTAGTGCTGCCACGTTGCGGTAGCACTCCACGCCCGGGGGATAGCAACACCCGAGAGCGAGCGAGCGAGCGAGAGAACGAACGAACGAAGGATCGAACAAACGAACCAGAGCGGGAGCGAGCGCTCGAGCGAACAAACAAAGAGGGAAGGAGCGAGCGAACGAACTTTGACACTCCCTGCAATTCGAGCAGCGAGTCAAGGCCGCCTGCATCCAGCGCGAATCGAGTAGAGGCTGCTCGCTCTGGGACGGCCACTGGGTCAAGGTTAAACGACCGGTTCTCAGGGAACACGCTTCGATTTAGTTGCCAGAACAGCGGGGAGGGGTATATGCAGAGTTCATTCCCTGTCAAGGATAACCGCATTATTTTGTCTGGAAGCCGTATAATGGACGCGAATGACGAACCACGAAAATGCCACGAAATGCATGTGGTGAATGGCACACGTCGAGAACTGACGGATCGAACGAATCGAACGCACACGCGATCACACATGCGTACTCCCAAATTGCAAGGAAAACTCTAGCAGTGGGGCGTCAATATCGCTGCCGCGGCATATGTTGAGTTCACACTCGTCTGCCGTGTATAGTCGAGTAACGCGAAATAAATACGATGGACAGCATACACACAGGAAAAAAACGACAACGATGAATAAGAAGCTAATATACGTGCACAACTTTGCCAGCACGTACCTGCATGAAAGAGGTGGCTGGGGCTAAGGCGAGCTTAATTAAAATACTAAACATGCTGAGTTATAAGGACGAAGGATGTAATATATGTCGAAGCTGATATCCTGCGGCGGATATTCTGACACCAGGCCGGAAAGGAAACAGTCCATTTAAAACGAAATGACACATTGCAGAACACATACGTCCTGCTTTCATTTGATCATAAGGTTTCTGCCGAGCATTATTACTCTGAATACTATCAAGAGTAGATAATAACAGTTGTTATAATAAGATAATACAGATGTTAAATTATCTACTCTTGATACTATAGGGGACCGAGTTGAGCAACTCTTTGAACAGAATATAATTACCGCATATGCGCAGGTACATTGAGTCGGAGTAGGATATCTGTGGTCCATTTATCAATACTAAATGCTGGTTCCTATGAGCTCCACTACCTATGCTATAATACCTAAATAATGCATTCCCAACTGACAATGATTTTGGCAGTGATTCGCCGTCGCAATAGACACGCAACAGACTGCTATCCTGAAAGGAACAATCACATGTAGCGAACCAAAGAGAAGATTAAAAAAACGCGAGGCATAGGGCAGAGTAATGCGCGCATTGAGTGATTATGATATATATTAATTTACTGCTGCTAAAGCCCGGCGCACACGTGAGTAATTTTACTCAAGTAAAATGATGCATACGTCAAAATACTCACGTGTGCGGCGGATTTTCGTTGAGTATTTTGACGCATGCATAATTTCACTTGAGTAAAATTACTCACGTGTGCGCCGGGCTTACGATGATTCAGCATTATGTCCGAGTCACAAACGAGAACGGTCGAGAATATTCCTCGAAACCCACATTATACATATATATAATTATAAACATACATAATTGTAATAACGCTCATAACTCACGCGATAAGTATTGGAAGGATCGGGAAAACACAAGAACGGTTGGGAAGAATATTCTTTGAAACCCGCATTTATATATATATA